CCCATACTGGAGTATGCAGCCCTGTTTGGAACCCGCACTTGATAAAGCACGTTTAAAAACTAGAGAAAGTACAAAGTTTGCAAAAAGGGGTTTGTTCAGAGCTAAGGGGAATGTTCCTATGAAGAAAGATTAAGGGAAATCGGCCTGACGACACTGGAGGACAGGAGGGTCAGGGAGACATGATAAGATATATAAAATACTGCGTGGAATAGACAAGGTGGAAAGGACCCGGATGTTCCAGGGAGGGGACACGAAACAAGAGGCCACAATTGGAAGTTGAAGGACACAAATGAGTCAGAGAGATAGTAGGAATTTTCTTCAGTCAATTAGAGTTGTAAGGCAGTGGAATAGCCAGAAAATGACTAGTGGAGGGAGGAACCATACACGTTTTAAGCGGGGTTTTTAAAGCCCTGGAGGGGGAGAGAGGGGCTAGTAGCAACCCGGGGAAAAGGCGGGGCCAGGAGTAGGACTCGACCCCTGAACCACAAATAGGTGAGTACAAATAGTGGATACACACCACTCAACGCACACACTTTCAAAACACACACAACACCACCATACAACCCACACACCATAACACAAACCACACAACCCCCCACACACACGCCAAAAAACGCTCTCACACACACACACACACACACACACACACACACACACCACACACACAACACACACACACACACAACAACACACACACACACATACACAACCCGCACAACATACACAAAAAGAAACACACACACACCACGCACCACACACCCACACACAACAACCAACCCCCACACCCACACACACACACACACACACAACCACGACACACACAACACACCCCACCCCACACACACAACACTAACACGCAAAATCACAAACACAACACACCCTACACACCACACACACACACATACACAAAAACAACCCCAACAACCCCGCATACACACACCCACCACATACCACCCACACACACACACACACACCAACACACACACCACACACAGACAAACGACAAACCCACACCACACAACACACACACCACACACACACACACAACACACACAAAACACCCCACAACACAACCCCCAAAACACCCAGACACACAACACACACACACCACAACACACACACACCCCGCACACACACACAAAAACACCACACACACAACACACACCACACACCCCCAAAACACACACACACACACCACACACACACCACACCACCACCACACCAACACACACCCAGACAACACACCACACAACACACACACACACACACACACACACACACACCACACACAACACACACAACACACCACCCCAACACACACAACACCCCAAAACAAAACACACCACACACACACACACAACCCAGACCCCAAAACACACAAAACACACAACACACACAACACACACCCCCACACACACACACCACACACACACACAAAAACCCCCACACACACGGCGAGAGGAAGCAGGGGTTCCGGGAGTGTGTAATGGCCGAGACGAAAACAGGACGAAAGGAAGACAATGAAAGAGAGTTCAAAAACGAAAAAGGGAAAAAGGGGGAAATGAAAAAGGAGAGAGAAATAACCAGGATCAAAAGGGGAAAGGGCAAAACGCACCCCCCAGAAAAACCCGCAGAAGGCTCGCCACGACACCCCCAAGGCAACTGAAAAACCCAAAACCCAACCCATCACACCCCGACCCTCTTTTCCACCCCCGCACCACAGTTCAGTATTAAACGGGGAAATTGAAGGTTGGACACAAATGCGAGGGATTAAACGATAAACAGAGGATGGCAAGAAAACAATAGAAGTCCCCCATCTAGCAGTTACAAAAAAAATTACGGAGACAATAACAGATGCAATCTTCCCACCAGGATCCCAGATAAAGAGGAAAGAAAGAAGGGGCAGGGGGGAGGTGGGGTTGCTTGCTCGTAAAAAAACAGATGGAAATTCGAGAAAATGGAAGGCATAGATGAGACGGGAGAAAGAGACTACATAGCAGGTACACTTCATCTGGGGAACACAAAGGGTCATTGCAGTGATGTATAATCCACCACAGAATGCAGGAGGCCAAGAGAGGAATATGAAGAGAGCAACCAGAGCAAGGGTGGACACACTTCCCTCGGGTGGCAAGAAAGCTCACTCCAGCAGAGCAAAGTTGCTGGTTATGGGGGATTTCAACCACAGGGAGTTTGACTGGGAAAATCTGGAGCCACATGGGGGTCCCGAAACATGGAGAGCCAGGATGTTGGACGTGGTGCTGGAAAACCTCATGCACCAACATGTTAAGGACACTACCAGAGTGAGAGGGGAGCATGAACCAGCAAGATTGGACCTTGTGTTCACCCTGGGCAGCTTAGACATTGAGGACATCAAGTATGAGAGTCCCCTAGGAGCTAGTGACCACGTGGTTCTGTGCTTTGAATACATAGTAGAGCTGCAAAAGCTGGGAAAATCCTGACTATAAAAGAGGGGACTATGTAGGGTTGAAGAACTTCCTGCGGGAGGTCCAGTGGGACATAGAACTGGCAGGAAAGCCAGTAAATGAAATGATGGAATATGTAACAACAAAATGCAAGGAGGCAGTGTAAAGGTTTATTCCCAAGGGCAACAGTAACAACGGGAAGACCAGTACGAGCCCCTGGTTTACCCGACGGTGTAAGGAGGCAAAAACAAAGTGCAATAGAGAATGGAAAAAGTACAGAAGGCAGAGAACACACGAAAATAGGGAGATCAGTCGCAGAGCCAGGAATGAGTACGCACAGGTAAGGAGGGAGGCCCAGCGACAGTATGAAAATGACACAGTATCGAGAATCAAGACTGACTCGAAACTGTTGTATAGCCACATCAGGAGGAAGACTACAGTCAAAGACCAGGTGATCAGATTAAGGACAGAAGGTGGAGAACTCACAAGAAATGATCAAGAGGTATGTGAGGAGCTGAACAGGAGATTTAAGGAAGTTTTTACAGTAGAGACAGGAAGGGCTGTGGGAAGACAGCACAGAAGGGAACATCAAGAGGGGAATATACCAACAAGTTTGGATGACATACGAACAACTGAGGAGGAGGTGAAGAAGCTCTTATGTGACCTTGACACCTCAAAGGCGATGGGACCGGACAACATCTCCCCATGGGTCCTTAG